CACATATTTCTTTATCAAGGCGACCGATTAATCACACGAGGACTTTATTTATTCACGTCATCCACACAACTATTCATTTTTTAAATAAACACCATTTTTCACATGATAAACATGAAATAGATTTTTTTTCTATTGAATGATATTTTTCAAAGAGAAGGGTTAATTTGGCCATAGGGCCGCGTAAAATCTATCGTGAATTGAATAGGCCGAACGCAAACTTTACAATCTTTACGTTTTATCAAGGTTCCGCTGCTTTTCCATTCATTTACTGTTTGTAACAACGCAATGATTTTTATAAAAAAAGTTCACATTATTATCATCAAGACTAGCTGTCAAATCTTCGATAAGGCCCAAAATGTTAACCTAACGAAAGTCATTATTATGGGATAGTGCCACAGAGAAGATCGTGATATAACTGATACGGCAGCAATTAGATCATGTGGAAGATCAAAAATCAGAATGAGTTCTTGAACGAAATTAAAGTTGGTTGAATTTTTTCATTAACGGTCCGGAACCTCAATTTTGTCTCCAATACGCGATAGATTTGTGGATTGTGTTCTCGCCCGAAGTTTTTTTCAGGTTGGTATGCTAGAAAATCGAAATAAAGGAACATGACTTTTTATTAGACACGTATTGCGACAAATGTTGAACCATCGATTTTACGCGTAATTCCTATTTTCCTCGAGATTTAAAAGTGTTCATAACATTTCAACAAAGTCATATCCTGTATGAAATAAACATTTTTAATATCAAATTGAAAAAACACGTAGAAAATGAGAGTATTCACCAAGATGCGAGAACAGTATTGCACAAGAGCGACAGCTCGTTCGTTACCAACTCCCGAGTCGTCTGATCATCCGGAAACACCGGAAAGCGTTTCAACCGTGGAGCAACAAACTCACCAACCGAACACGTCAATAGAACAATCACCCATGATAAAACCTATACGACCACTAAAAAAACCGCCTGTCAAAGCACCGGGAGGCGTGGAGTGTAATAATCCTCATTGTAGAACAAAGTACGCTTCCGCTTGGCGTACAAACCCAGAAGGAGGCTGGTTATGTAATGCATGTGGTATATTGTAGGTATCATATTATCACAAACGCTTTCTTTGAAGCTTTTTTTTAAAGGACCGATCGATAAAATATTATTTTACATTCATAGCATTAGAACAAAGGGTTACCACCGACCTCCAGAGGTGATTAATCGTGTGTACAAAACTACTAACGATTTAAAAGCTCGGACAGTCCCTAGAAAGGACACAATTCGCAAGGTAGTGCACTACTTGGATATCACTTTAGATTTCTATGTATGCTAATAATTTTAAAAATTTTTCACGAAACCTCGTCTTTCAGCGTAAAATTCCTGAAACGACCAATAACGCAGACACCTTCACCGAAAGTCTGACATCGAGTGCCGTGATTACGCGCAGCAAGGTATATTTGTTAACTTAAATTAACTCGCGAATGGAATTAATGTTTCTATTAAAATTTGGTGTATTACAGAGTAAAAATTCTGTATCTGAAGGCTTGACTTCAAAGAATATGATAGAAACGCGTAGCAAAGTACTAAACGCATTGAAATTGCAATAAGAGATTATGTTAGTAAGCTTCATTGTATCTAAGTTTTGATAAAATTTCTTTTAACAGAAGAAAATAAGAGAATGCTCGGATGATGATGACACAGAAATGTCAGAAGCCCTTTACCAAAAAACCCAGGACGAACCCTTACCATGGAATCGTAAGGAATATCTGAAATGCGGATTATATTCTATGGATCTTAAAGTTAACAAGTCCACGAAAAGAAATTCAAAGGAAACAGTAAAAGAGATATCGTCGGAAGTTTTTCCACTTCCCGTTCAATACGGTCAATTTCTTATGACGGATAGACGTAACTTTCGTTTGCCTTGGGATATAATGACCGCTCACAAATCGGGCTTGTTACAGCGAGAATATAGAAAGATCCAAACGAGTATGTCAGGATCAGAAATTCATGCTGAGACGTTATTAAATAATCTCACTGATCTTTATCGTTCCTCTACTCAGACGTATATATAGATCGTAAGCGTAAAAACGAAAAACCGGTCATATGTGACTGTAAGCCGCCCAGCGATGGCGGACCCGGCTGCACCGAAGATTGTTACAACAGGCATATAAAAGTTTATCATGTGCACTCATTTACGATCAATGTGTCGATCCTAAAGGTTTTACTGTTTATTTTTTCTTAGGGTGATGTTCTATGAATGTTCTCCAAAACACTGTCCTTGTGGTAAACAATGTACCAATCAAAGATTCCAAAGGAAAGAAAGTGTCAAGGAGTTAAAAGTGTTCAAGGTATTACTCATTTGTACCCATAAAGAAATATGATGTTGGTATTAAATCTTATGACGTGCCTATTTTTACAGACCGGAAATCGTGGTTATGGACTTCTTACGCTCGGGGATGTTAGGAAAGACCAACTGATCTTGGAATATCGGGGGGAGGTTATCTCGCACAACACAGCTATAAAACGCATGGAAACAAAATACAAATATATGAAGAGCATATACTTCCTTGACTATGAAAACAGGGCTGTTGTAGATGGTGCTTTACGTGGTACCGAAGCGAGGTTCATTAATCATAGGTAAAAAAAATTGTCGCGCTCTTTTTATTGTTTGCTGAAAATTGACCAGGGTGACCGTTTATTTTAATCTAAATAATAATTGTTACCCTTTTTTTTTTTATTGAAGCTGCGCCCCAAATTGTCATATCGAAAAATGGTACGTACGGATGATGAATAGGTGTAATTATTTCATATGAACCACGG